TGTTGTTGTCATTCATATTACTGCTGTTGTTCTCGCTAGTGCAGCTTTCATTGTCATTCTCGTTCGCAGCATCATCTTCATCGTCATTGTTAATGATGTCGTTGTTGTCTATATGGCATAAAAACTAGATTAAACTGCATGTTATATCTCTATAAACATTTGTCTATCCAAGTATGCCAAGCATTTTGCATTTAAGCAAAAGGTAGCTTCTGTTACTAACTAATCGTTAATGTATACATTACAGGTATGTAAGTGCGTATACGGATTTCGTGGTGCGTTATTAGATGTTGTTGTTTGATAATGCTGTAACTGTTGTTGACAGAAACTAAATAACGCATTATACATAAGCTTTCTCGCGGCCTGGGCAAGAAAAAGAATTAAACAAATTATTTCAATTTGAGTTTTTGGTGTCAAGGCTATAAACGGATGTTAGGATTTCTGAATAGCTCTACTGCTTACATTCGCTTAAAAGTGTTTTCTTTTCTTCTTGCTGGCAAGAATTGATATGTAACGAAGCAATCAATAATTTCTGGGACTGACATGTAAACATGGTTTCCCGCCCCGCAACAAGAAAAAAGCAACACTATTTTGGAACCTGTCAATTCTCAAATGGCCTCTCTTAACGTTTTCTATAATTTCGATCATTTTTTAACGAGTTTTAATGATTGTGGAGGGGAGCAATTGTTGTTACTTTCAAAAGAAAATTATATTCTGCGTGTTTATTGAACGTTGCTTTCCGACGGAAAAAGATAACATGCAAACTTAACATTGGAAAGTGTCATGGCAATTTTTGGTTGTCGAAAACGACTTGGCGCGAATAGCAAGATCATTCGAACAGCACGTTTCGAGGGTCTGAAGAAATCCTATTGAAAAAAGGCCACCGCAATGTGAGAAAACGAGTGGACGAATAAATATGAATTTTTCTTGTTTAGTTGCAGAAGTTATCGAACGATGTATTATGCATACATGTCAAGTTGGCCAAATTTTTTTGAAGTAAACATTTCTTTAGGAAAACTGAAGAGAGATGAATAAATGAACTGAATTTGCATCACCGTGTCCTCTTCTATGAGAAGTTGGCTACAAAATGTTTTTCTAAAACTATTTTTTTTTTTTTATGTTTACTTTAATTATTGGTTTTGTTGTTGCTTTATTCCCTTGACAAAGCAAAACAAACCAAAATATGCAAAAGTTTTATTTTCAGTAAAGTTTCAATTTTTTATTCTGGTTTGCTTCTACCCCTTCTATGTTGTTGTTGTTATTGTGCAACTTACAAAAATAAACAAATCTGGAAAATAACAAAAAAGTATAAAAACAGAGAAAAATTTAGCTACGTATTGTATTTAGATTGTTCTCTATAATACTGTTTTGTTTTAAAACAAAACAGAATAGAAAATAGACGCAATAACAACAGCAGCAACAACTACAGCAGATTCCCGCATCATTTTACAAGTGTGTGTGAAATTTGACTCTGCTTAAGTGCACTTAGCCCTCAACTCGTTTGGATTGCAGTCATAAAATGTCTACCACTGTAAAGCGTTTACTTTACTGTTCTGCTGTGTAGCAGCATTGCTAGGAAAGTACGAATATTTTCGGTTTCATTTCGTTTTTCAATTTTTTTGTTGTTGATCTTTCAAGCTTTTTTTTCATTTCTAATTTGTGGATAGAAAAGTTTAAACCCTTTTCTTCTTTGCACCCGTTAATGCATTCAATTTTGGGCCGTTTGTTGCTTGCTTTGTTGCTTTGTTTTTTTTTTTTTGTTTTTTTGCTTAGCTCAAACTGGCGATGTTGTTGTTCTTGTTTAGCAAAACCCTTTTATTTGATTTCGATTTATTGTAAGTTCGCATAAGTGAAAAGTTTTGTTCACTCACTTCCCTTGTCTGTCACAAAAATTGTGATTTCACTCCATCAACACATACACAGTATTCACCCTTAGATGTAGGTATATAGCTATACAAAGATATCTTAAAATCTTGAAATTTTAAAAAGTTTACTCTAGCACTGCTTCGGCAAATACGTATGTTTGTGTTCGTTAAAATTTAGTTTGTCTACTTAAGTGTTGTACTGCTGCTGTGTCGGTGTGCGCAATGGCCATAAACTTTTCCATTTAGTTTGAAGTCCGTTGACGTGGTGGTGGTAATAGTGTGAATAAGTTTTATACATATTTTATAGTTTACTTGATTTTAAGACTCCCTTGGATCACCTTTGGATACTAACTTTCTTTTTGTTGAAATGCAACTTGCAGTGTGAATTTTAATGTTTAATTCATTTTTTGTTTCTGTCAGATGCCTTAAAACGCCGTATTGAACTTTTTTTTTTCATAAAGATTTGATGCTCAGGCTTTGCGAATTGGTTGCAGTTGGATTGATTCAAACTTGTTTGTCAACATAACGTAATGAAACAAATTCCACCTCAACCCTTTTCATACTGTCCATGAGCTCGTTAACGTTATCTTATCCCCAACTATGACTCAAGACTCAGAAGCATCTTCCGAAGCTTTCATAATGCAATGAAGCTAACCAAAAATCCATCTTACGTTAGGTAAATGAACATTTTCGTGAAATTTTTCCAGCACAACGCGAACACATTTCCTTTATATATTAAATGAATTTTATGAAAACCACTATATGGCATTTGGATCGATAACGTGTTTTTTATGTTTTTGGCGCAATTCTCACACTACCACGCTACATGTTCTGGGACTTCTGGACAAATCGTTTCAATACCTTTTATTTGAAAGCAGCTCATCACGTCATGGGCACGGAATCAGCAGATATTAGATTAGACTTTTACCAATGGATTATGAATTTATAATAGCGTCGACATTATTTAAAAAGATGGAACAATTTATATACAGTAAATGATGTTCTTTTTAATACAACACCTTACGTCTTCGGTTCGACATCTCTCCTACGAACATCACAATTAAAAAAAAGTCACTTGCCTTGTTAAAACCTTTGCTTATAAACGCTATGAAGGCGGTCATGAATATTACTTTTCGCGCTGATGGATTTGTTCACCTAACACATCCCGGAAATATTTGCTTACTTTTTTGTTAAGTGTGAGCTTATCACCAGTTCACAATCTGAAGAAAGGACTATCCAAACTATCCTACACATTCATGCAACTTTACCTTCGTCATAAAAGTGGCGAGTGGCAAGAAGATTAAGAAAACTTCGCAGAAATGAAGCGGAAAAACTAATTAATGGAATAAAAACGTCGCGATGAATTTAGGCAATTATAACTTGCTTAGTGAAGGGCATATAAGCAGAATATTCGAGATTGAATCGAGAGAGTTGAGTCGTGATATTAAAGCGAATTAGAGCGTTGCAAATTTAAATATCTGAAAACAATTTGCATTTGGATTTCCTAAGAATTGTATATAAATCCTAGACTGTCCCACAAATCACAATACAATGGTACGAACTTGTTTAAAAAAAACAGCAACAAATTCACAAAAGACGGATTTACGTTAGAGTATATTTTACGTAAACGAAAACACACATGCGAAATAGCGGAAAGAACAAATATAAATTGAATTAAGTAAGTAAAAGAAACAAAAACAAAACAAGTAAGAAAATTATATTCGGTCGTGGCCAAATGTTTTATACCCATCACCGTTACATTAGAACAAAAAAAAAAGTGGAAGAGTTAAAAAAGGCCCACAGGTGGGTACTTTGAAAACTTCAGGCCACTTTCAGATTCTTTTGCAAGTTTTTAGACGATATTTTCACTTTTGATACACATAGCAAATTTAAATCTGTCCAGAAATTTGTACACTTTATGGTGTTTTTACAACTAATTTCTGTTTCAAAATTTACTTTGCTTCGCTTTAATATAGGATAGGCGTTGTCAATTTTTCCCATGGAATAAACGTTCAAATTTTTGCACATTTATCTGTTAGAGTTTATGAGTAGTGAGCAAAATACCAATTTTTTATTCCTTTTGAAACACAGGTGGTCTCAGTTTACGCGGTGTTGTGGGGATGTCCTTCGGCTAATTTGGCTCATTTTCAATAACAACCTGCCTGTTAGAACTTCCAATGTTCACAGCAGACATTACGCAGACGGACAAACGTACAGGTTTAAGTCGGTTTAGAATCAGATGCTGCTCAAGAATATGTATACTTTGTGATGTCTCTGATTTTTCTTTCGGGGCGTTGCAAATGCTCTGACAAATATATTCCTCATCCTCCGGTGATGGGTATAAAGATTGACAACCAATGTAAGAAGAAGAGGAAATGAAACAAATCAAAACGATGATACACTATTTGAGCACACATGCAAACATAAGAAATCGCTAGAAGCGGAGGGTTCTTTGTGGATAGCGTGAGTAAGCACAACCTATCGTAGGATCGAGCAAAGAATTATCGGTCAAAGTTTCTCAAAAAAATATTTTAAGTGAACTAAAGAGCCTGCAATCAATTCAACTCCTTTCCATTTAATATATTTTATATGTGGACACCCGGGTTCGCATAATGAATTGGGACTCCGTAGCAATAAGCTGACACTAATATCCCTTTCAACCCCGACCTCGCATCTGTGCCCACACTGCATTCAAAATAAATTTTCCTGCCAAGTAATATTTGTTTGTGTGTGGATGACTTATGATCTCACTGACAAAAGTCGAGGCAAACAGAACTGTCTTCGCGAACAGCTGCAAGATACGCTTGCCTTCACACAATATGAAAGGGAGGAGAGAAGTGTGGCTACGGGCGGACAATATTTTGAATATAAACAAAATGGTCCTATTCGTTTTTTCTTTTGCTAATAACTAACTATTCAGCGTCACCGAAAAATGTCTGCAAATTTATTTAAGCTCTTGAAATTTAATTGATCCAATTAATAAAAGCTAAATTGTAAGCAACGGTTAACTTACAAAAGCAATGATTTGAAAGTAATAATTACGTTAGTTAAGTGAAGGTTTTATAAGTTTTTAATTTTAGTGTTTTCAGATTAGGGAAAACGAAATTTTTTAAGCATTTCTTATAATTTTTTTTTTAGATAAACCTATTTGTCGTCCGGATCAAAAGAAAATTTATGGTGTAGCACGTAATGAAGCCGCTGAGATATCATGTGAAGTCGACGCTTTTCCGCCACCCGAAAATTTTAAATGGTCTTTTAATAATACGGCCGAAACGTTTGATATGCCGCAAAGCGGGTTTCGAGCCCATTCAGCACAAGGATCAACTCTAACGTACACTCCAGTCAAGGTAAGTAAAAGAAACGGAAAATATACTAATTTAATTATTTTCCATTTCAATCGAGAAGCAAATTATTGCGCATAATTAATTTAAAAGCCATTTAAAATAGTTTCTCAAAAGTTACTATTTTATTGAATGCAACCAATAAGTAAAAAGTAACGAAATTTTTCGAAAAACGAAGAAATAAAAAACAATAATGTACATCATCAGTACAACACATCATCATCATACCACTATAAAGTAAAAAAAAATCAGCTGAAAATTCATTTTTGTTAAAACAATGCTGTTGCGCTGTGCATAATAATAACAACAACAAAACTACAATAATAATGTCTGAAAAAGAAAAAAACTGCAAACATGTACTCCCAACAAGAACAAAAGCTAATGTCGTTGATACGTTTGTGAAGGCAGTAGTAGTGGTACAGGCAAGGGTAGCAGAGTTATATTAGTGGGGAGTAGTAGTAATAGAAGTAGCTATAATAATAACAACAGTGGATGGATGGAATGCCGTAGTTTAATGGAAAGTTGAAGTTCATAAAATTTTATGCTTGCAATTTTAGTAATTGTAACTAGAAATTGCACTTATACTGTACTACAGCTTGCCACTACATCTAGATACTAACGACACAATGCATTTGCATGTACACGTGGTGAAAAACTTGCCTGTGTATACACATTTACAAGCTGTATACTTGTACGCGTCCATACCTGTTACAAGTTTACTAAAGACAAAAAAATGCGAAAACAAAACTTAGTGGAAATAAGTGTAAAAGTAAAAAAGAATGTACACATTTATGCTTTCGAAATTGTCGAAACATTTATGTGCTTCAGAGGGCTTAGTCAAACATTGGCGAAAAAAAGGTTAATATTAGTTGGCAAGCAAACAATAGTAGCACCCAAACTAACAACAATTATCCAAGCATCCCAATATGCTAATGTTGTGCTTGTGTAGAAGTTGCTAAACATGCATATGTAATACAATATATAGTTTACAATACATATATTGTTACGTTAGATGTAACTAACAATTATATAAATACTACTACTGGATTAGTGTTGTTTTTGTTTCTAACTGCTATCATGTCTCTCTTTCATTCTCTTTTTTTCGGTACTACGGTCCGTAGTAAATTAAAGTAACGCTAAACGCACAAAACAACTGTCCAAGTCATTTTGTTTCGTGTTTGCGCAAGCGCACAGCGCACGATCTTGTGCTTATGTTTGCATAACCACACGCATATATACATATATGAGATGTTTACTTTGAAAATGTGAAATAATGTGGCACTTATGAATAAAACTCAATCTCTTCTTTCGATCCGATTACCTCTCTAATATTTAGCAGAAAGAAGTTTTAGTTATTAACGGCATTTTAAATATATTTATTTTGAAAATGGTGCAAGTCCGTCTTATTGGCTTGAAATTGACTTAGTAGACCGTTAATTTAGAAAAGACAAAACTTTATCCTAATCTAACAGCATCAATTGCATATTATATCCACATTTTTCATAATGATCTAGTCAACATACGCACTTTGGGATGAAACTGCAAGAGCTGGAGGATCCAAAAAGGCAGCATGTGATAAATCAATTCCATTTTACACCCCATTTGGGTACAGGTCAAAATAGAAACATAAGTTAATCTTAATGTGGATAAAAATTGTTCAATCCAGCGGAAATGAAACGAACTGAATTGATCGTAAATTTTTATTGCCAAGGTATTGATTCTTACCAAACGACAGCGATTTTGGAGAGGAAGAAATGGCAATCAGAATAGGCATTATTATAATAATTTTGAACCGATAGCCTGTGTTGCTAGTGCTCAATGTCTCTTTTTTTAGTCTAAGAATTCAATTCATTAGTCTAAAATTAAAATAATAATAATAATAATAATATAATAATTTTATCAGACAAGTAGGTGTTCACCTAAAATTGAATATCATTTTGTTTTGATTACTGAAAAGAGGCCAACCAACATAACTCAAATATTATTCCTTTGATTAATGACTGCAATAATTCATTATTAACGGAATATCAAATATGGTTAGTATGGCTCAGTTAGGTATAAAAACCCATTTTTCTTAGCGAGCACTATAAACACCCTCCGATAATAAACTTACCACAAAGCACATTAAAAATGCATCAACAAAAAATGGACTTACAGCACTTTCAAGGTAAAAGTCTCTTGTATGTATTGACACATATATGGATTTTTCTTTCTTTTTCTTCATGGCCGTTTTAATAATTTATACTTACGAACTATATCACACTTCTGCTCGAGAAATAGAGATAGAGGATGGTTACGACTTTTAGAGAACGTATGTTAGGGAGATATATGTATATACATACATCGCAAAAACCGTATATATTAACAGTTATGGGTAAACTGATATATAAGTAGGATCGTAAATTTTTGACACAAAGTACAACAGCAAGAAATGAAGATCTCGTAACACCTATACTAGAAATACATAACCTATCTCTCGTTGCAGTTTGCATCCATACCTGTGTGTGACTGCGTGCCATCGATGTCTTTGCAGATCCCGTCGACAACCGGTACAATGAAAGTAAAAAGTGGAAAAGCACCCCACTTATCAGCTGATCCCTTTATTAAACTAAACTAAACCTAAGAACAAATTCCTGTGGTCCCTAAACACATTTGTAGAACCTAAAAGCAACTGTACCAAAATTTCAAAAATATTGAAATACTTCATTGAATAGAAGATGATCTTTAGCGAAATTAAACAGCGCTGCAAAATTTGACAGAAATTTTTCTAAACGAGTAATGCCGATCAGTCGACAGACATGGTCCCCAATAAGTTAATGACGAGCGCTCTTTTCATATTTTCATCAAGAGTCTTGTGCAGTTGTATTCAAATCTCGTGATTGCATTCGTTCTAAAGCGAAACTAATTTTTTCGTTCGTTTCCTATTTTGTGTTCCTTTACTATTCCTTACTTCATTCTTTTTTCATTCTTTTTTTTAAGCTCAAGCTGACGTTGTTGCCGCTAACAAATGAAAATTCCATGTTTTACATAAGCTCATCATGTGTCAATTAAGAACTAACAATAAACTGCTTTGCTATTATTATTTGGCATCTTCGCTGGACTATTTTGTAAAATTTTCTTCCATTTCGCCAATCCTATGCAATAAAATAGAAATTATTAATTTTATTCTTATCAAAATTAGTAAGGAGCTATGTTATTGTTAGCATTAAACTATATGAGATGTTTAGATATTGTCATCATTAAATGCCAGGTACGTTTATTTTGTCCAACCGTTGCCAATGCCCAAAATTAGTCTTCATGTAAGTATGTACGTTCCCGAACAATGCTAAATTTTGAGTCCCCCTGTGCATGTTTTTTCTTCTGACTGTTTTTCTCTGCGCATTCGTGTCGTAAATATTTCTTCGTTCGCAAATAATTAATATTTCTTAATATTTCGCCTAGCAATTTGCAAAACGCTGGATGTTCTTCCAGGCAGATTGGCAGGAACTCTTCTGCTTTCCGGGATTTTTCTTTATTACTTATAAACTTTAAAAGATATACGATGAATAGTATCACATATATTCTGAAAAATCGAAACAATTAGCCACACCTGCACAGTAGAAAGGTTTTCTTTTAAATTTAGTTATTGCGTTTTTTCCTCATTTCCATGATTGAAGATGGTGAACAGGAAAGTTGAAGACGGACGCAGCCGAAAAAAAAATTTATAAGAAATAGAACCGAAACCGAATTGTTAGCACAGGGTAGTTGGTTTAGTTCTTTTAAACGAAGGGAAAACGAGTGTCGTAAAACCCAAAGCTCCTTCTTCATTAAAGTTCGTTCTTCGTCTTTTTTGTGCTTCGTTTTGCCGAAGTGTTTGTAAATTTTGTCTGTAATTTTCTGTCCGTTGCAATCATCTTATATTAAAACAGGTGTGAACAATTCGAGTTTTTGTAAACGCCACAATCTTTCACGTTTGTGCACATAAAAGTTACAGGAATAAAATCTATTTTCTTCCTCTTAATGTATCTTAATAAAAGCTCAATTTAAAAATAAATAAATCAATATTTTTACTTTTTGGTCTACTACAATTCGCGGCCTACTCTCTAAGCTCTCTTCTTTAGTATCCATATCGAGCGCATGTTAAAAAAATTAACAAATTTCGCTTCCCGCATTCCGCTCTCCAACTTGTTTTACTTAATAAAGGTATTAAGGGCAAAAAGATAATCCGCCACTTTCCAGTGGCCGCCATTTTGAATAAAAGGAAAATTTGATCCTACTACATTGCATTGCCATCAGAACGGACGGTGTAAGCAAAATATGAGCATTACCAGACATACGGAGCTTCCTAAAATATGGATCCATTGTGTGCCTTCTACTTTGCTCCCGCTAATCTTTAGTACACACAGAAAGCGAATCCATCATGTTATATTGCCGATGTGAGTGAAGTTGTGTCAAAAATTTCGAGAAAATTGCATATATAGGAGTACATGAAACATTCTATCAGTGAAGATTCTAGGCTGAAAGAAAAACAAGTTAAATAATTGCTTATAAAGCATATAAAAAATAGTTTTCTTTTGATTTGACCAATCGCTCAGTAAATATCCGATACACTTCACAAGTGTGTACACGGTCAGTAAGCATTATATCTTTATCAAGTGAGGGCTACGGCCATATATTAATCCTAATTCAGGAGTGGTCTCAGTAACGTACGTCTTCAGTAAGGCCGAAAAGCAAATACGTGGCCTCGGGAGGCACAACTGCTATGCCGGAAAGAAAATGTGTTAATTATAAATTATGTTACTTTTAAGATAGGTTGAGAAACGCTTTCCTACGAGCAGGGTTATGCCCGCCGGATGACCGGATCAGCCTACAACATCATTTATAATTGCAGAACTGAATGAACAAACTATGTCTCACACTCACTCCGCATTGGATGCTCTCTCCTTCTGAAGTTTTTCTTTAGCTTAGAAATTACGTAAGCCAAAAAAAAAACCTACTCTCAATTCCTGTACTCTATACTCTTTATA